CCAACTTCATCAAGTCCTCAAACAGGGGTATCCAATTCTAGGGAACTCGGTGCACGTTGCGGCCTCTGCACCACTTGAAAAAACAGGGAGAACCACTCTGAAGTATCCGTTGCGGCAGTACTTCGCCAGACAGGAGATTCTCGGAGAAGCGGAACCTGGGTACTTGTTGCGGCAAGGTACCTGCTGAAGGCAGTGTCGACTTGAGCCCCATCCTCACTGGAGGCGCTGGGTATACAGAAGACGCCGGTTAAGGGCCACCGAAAGAAGGCACCCACACCTTGCCAAGGCTGGTTTTCAATCGAGAAAACGCAGATAGGAAGGACGATTGGTTACAGGCACCAAGCAGAGGAAATCAACAGCCAGAACGACCAAGCGCTCAAACGGGAGTAGGCAGGAGACTAGCTGGGCACTTTAAAAAGTGAGCATAGGGATCACCGAGGTCAGAAAAGAGACTAGGACCCCGACTGGTTGACGTTACCAGGCAAATCAAAAGGCGTACACAATTGGTTAAGGGCCACCAAAGATCAAAAGGCAGGAGTGCGGAGTTTTTGTTACAGGAACGAACTCAAGCACTAGCGATTACCCGTGTGGTAATCCAGAAGAGAAGCCCTCATCTGAGGCACACGTTGAAGACGTGCTAAAAGCCCTTCCCAGGGAAGGCAATCCAGGAATCTTAGGACAAGACAAGATTCAAAATGACTACTTTCCGAGAACACGATCCAGTATCTGAGGAAGATACCCCAGAAACACGACCAGTGACTTCTGACGAAGAAGTACCACCATTTACGCTTAGCGACGCCACTACAGAGGAGTTAACAGACCTCTACGACAAAAAGTCGACAGAAGCGGTTCAACTTTGACTTCAATTTAGGCTAGAACGAGCCTACGAGCCAACAGATCGCCCAAGACTAGAGCAGCTCGAGGGTGAAATCGAAGAAATAAGACAAGTTCTTCGCGGAAGGGAAAACTTTGACGAAGAATCGCTACGACTCTTTGACGAAGCAACAGAACTTTCACGAGGAGAATCAATTCAAGTTGAACGACAGGAAGGGCGTTCACAGGAAACCGGTGGATTACAGCCAGTTAATCCTCTCGGAACAAGAGCAGTCCCGCTCGAGAGATCTATCTCGGACAGTACTACTCGACCAGATTATCCAGGAATCACACATCTCAGTAGGGACCAGCCACCCCACCTACCCAACGCGCCTGGAATCACACGTTCGGTTTCAACTGGATCAAGACCAACCGGTAGCTTCCAGTTCTCAGGAAGTATGGCCACACATGCACGATATGACCCGGCTCTCGGACCACCAGTCCATCCTGGAACTTGTACCGATGCTGTCTGGAACGAGTACCAACAAGCCTTGGCACTCTATGCACAATATCAGGGAGCAATCCCCAAGCCGCCAGTGGCATGAGAAAAGAAGATGGGAAAAATCAAGGAGTTTAGGGGAGACAAACGAGAATATGCATCGTTCCTCCGAAACGTGGAATGATACCTACAGGCAAACGCGGGAGTCTACAATGATGACTTCAGCAAAATTGCCTTCGTCCTCTCCCAAATCGATTCCTCATCCACAGCAGGAAAGTGGGCCGAGTCATGGGAAGCCAACCAAATGGCAAAACACAGCAATCTTGGGACGTACCAAGATTTCAAAACGACGCTTACCGAAAAGTATGGGGGTGTCGTGACCAAGGACCAAGCCTGGCAAGTACTTCTCAAAGGAAAGTACAAGCAGGACAAACAAAGCGTCGATGAATATATCGGAAATCTCGATATCCTCTACCGATATGCCGAAATCGACGATGAATACGCCAAGCTCATCCACTTCAAGCGAGGCCTTAATGAGAAACTTGCAGAAAAAGTCTTTATCATGGAAAATCCGCCGACAACCTATGCAGCAGCATGCAAAGCTGCAAGAAAGGTCACAGATCTCCAGGACATTCATAACGGAAAGACAAATATCTTCAAGTTCATCTCAGGCTCTTCAGGAAGCGGAAGAAGGACAGAGAAGGACCCCGATGCGATGGACGTCGACCGGATCTCCTCAGAAACCCATCAGAAACGTTCTGTGGGTGGACTCTGCTACAACTGCGGAAAGCCAGGACATGTCGCAGCACAATGCCCGAATCCAGAATATGATCCGGCACCAGATCGCTCAGGAAAGACAACTTCATATGCCAAAACCAAGACGTCCAATTCTGGGACGACGAAATACTCCAGATCTGGCAGACGAAGAAAGACTTCCAAGCCGACTAAATCTTACTCCAAGGGAACGGAGAAGAAACGCCGACGAGTAAAAAGAGTCGAAGAAAGCGACTCTGAGGATAACTCGGAGGAGTCGGAACAGGAAAAATCAGAATCCTCATCATCGGAAGAATCAGAATCTGAGTCATCGGAATCTGAAGAAGTATCCGAACAAGAAACGGTTGTTCACAGGGTACGAAGAGCTCGCCCTGTTAAAACCAAAACAGTTCGCAAAATTAGGCGAACCAAGGATGAATCCAGCGACTCAGAAGAAGCGTATGTGGTTCGACAATTCATCCCCAAAGAAGAACTCGCCAGGATACGACGAGAGGATGCACTCAAACTACGAGGAGACCGTATTAAGAAACGCAATATGACGATGCCCCATCTCGACGATCTTCTGGAGTTCGGAGACAATCCAGACAGATATGAATATGCACGCCGATATCCACCACCTATGGAGAAAGACGATCCAGAGGGTTTTGGAATTGGGTGCGCGTCGGGATCTCGTGGCACCCAGATAGAGAAACGGTCCCCGAGGAAGTAATCATACGAGGCGATATCAAACGAGGAAGTGAAATCTACCTTAATATCGTCTTCCAAGATTACGATGGCACAAAAACCCGAAGTATTCCAGCAAGAGCCTTAGTCGATTCTGGAGCAAAAGGAATGTTCATTAATGAATCGTTTGCAAAGAAAGCAGGACTCCATCTGCTCAAATCGCAGAAGGAAGTCAAGATTCGCAGTGTCGATGGAAGTCCCATCAACTCTACAAACCAACGATTCAAAGGAACTGTTCGTGCAGGAACGTACGAATGGAATGATGACTTCCTTGTCATCGACTTAGGAAAAGAAGACGTAATCATTGGCAATACGTGGCTTCATAATCACAACCCAATTATCAATTGGCAAACGGGTGAAGTCAAGGTCCGTCAATATGTGGAAGACATACCAGAAGAAGAACCCTGGCCCTTCAAAAACAAAGATGCTGTTCGTCTTCCAATCACCAAAAAGGAGAAAGCCAAAGCCAAGCGAACCTTGAGAAGGATCGACTGGTCTGATGTCGATCCTGCACCAGATGAAGCAGGAACCATTGACTCGGACCTCTTGCTTGCATACATAAAAGGCGCACCATACTTGGAGGATCAGGAAATAGGAGAAAAAGAAGCTATTTTCGCCTATCAACCTGACACTGGCATACTCCAAGAAGTTACGCTCGAAGAAAAGGAACATCGCTAGGCCGGAGAAAGGAAGATGCAGTATCTTGCACTACAACGAACGAATACCAAGAAAGATCCCAATCAAACAAGAAAGCAAGATGGAATCTTATGGAAGGCATCAAACAAGGCGCAAGAACTTGCACAAAAGAAAGCACTCGAGGAGAAGAAGAATTCCAAGAAGAAAGTAGAAATACCATCGTATCTACTCAAGTACAAGCAGATTTTCGAAGAAAAAGCATCGGAACGGTTACCACCGCATAGATCTTACGACCACAACATAGACTTCAAGTCGGACTTTGTTCCTAAACGAGGAAAGGTCTATAACCTATCAAAGCCAGAAGAAGAAGCTATGAATGCCTTTATCGACGAAAATCTTGCGAAAGGATATATTCGTCCTTCGCAATCTGCGATGGCATCACCTTTCTTCTTTGTAGGAAAGAAAGATGGCGGGCTTCGTCCATGCCAGGACTACCGCTATGCGAATGAAGGAACGATTAAGGACGCCTATCCACTCCCACTCATATCAGATCTAATGGATCGACTCCGCCATGCCAAGTATTTCGCGAAGCTTGACATTCGGGGAGCATATACCAATGTCCGAATTCGTCAAGGAGATGAATGGAAGGCTGCCTTCATCACAAAGCGTGGATTGTTCGAACCCACAGTCATGTTCTTCGGAATGTGCAATGCACCGGCAACCTTTCAGCGAATGATGAACGAAATATTCGCAGAAGAAATTGCCGAAGGATGGCTACTATGCTATCTGGATGACATCCTCATCCTTGCCGAAAGCGAAACGGAGTTGGAAAAGAAGCTTGAACGAGTCATTAGGAAAACGGTCGATAATGACCTCTATCTCAAGCTGGAGAAATGCGTGTTCAAGACTACACGCACGGACTTCCTAGGACTGGTCCTCCTCCCAGGACAACTTCAGATGGATCCAGCAAAAGTCAATGGAATCATCAAATGGGAAGCTCCGACCAGTGTAAAGGGAGTGCGAGCATTTCTAGGATTCGCCAACTTCTATCAAAAGTTCATCCGGAACTATTCTGAAATCGCAAGACCCTTAATTGATCTTACCAAGACCAAGGGCGGGAATGTGTTGCATTGGACAAGCAAAGAACAAGCCGCTTTCGACTATCTCAAAAATGAGTTCGGCAAGGCACCAATACTGGTTATGCCAGACAAAGACAAGCCTTTTGTCATCGAAACCGATGCATCGGACTTCGCTACAGGAGCAGTCCTCATGCAAAAGGACGATAACGGTGACCTCCATGCTTGCGCATACTATTCCAAGTCGCTCTCCGATCCTGAACGAAACTATCAAATCTATGATAAGGAGCTTCTAGGAATCATCCGCGCACTCAAAGAATGGAGACATTATCTCGATGGAACAAAAGAACCATTCCTCATACGCACAGATCATAAGAATCTGACGTACTTCAGGCAACTGCAGGACTTGAACCCAAGACAGCGGAGATGGCAGCTCTTCTTGTCTATGTTCAATTACAAGATTGTTCATACGCCAGGACGACAAATGGTGCAAGCAGACGCGCTTTCACGGTTGTCCGAATTAGACAATCGCCAGGATAACAAGTCACCTGCAATCCTGCTACCCGACGATCTCTTTATTGGTGCTATCGATACAGATATGGCGGAACAAATCCGACAAGCACTAACAAGAGACCCATCGGTACTTGCATATAAGGACGGCCTCATGGAAGAACTCCCAGTTCCACGAGGAATGACAAAAGACGACATCAAGGATGCTGCCAACGGTTTAATCACTATCCATGGACGCGTCTATGTCCCAAACAATACAGCCTTGAAGAAGGAAATTGTTCGGCGATACCATGAAGCCACTACCCATGGTCATCCAGGAATCTGGGTTATGCATCAGCTAGTGCGCAAAGATTTCTGGTGGCCAGGAATGTATCACTTCATTCAAAGTTACGTCAATGGATGCGCCACCTGTCAGCAATCCAAAGCTGTTCGAAACAAGGTCAAAGTTCCACTACAGCCCATCGGCCCTTCGCCCAATGCGCTACCTTTCAAGCAGGTTAGCGTGGATTTTATTACCGATCTACCGAACAGCGAAGGTTTCGATTCAATTATGGTCGTGGTAGACCATGGGCTTAGTAAGGGGGTAATTCTATGTCCCTGCAAGAAGATGATCACTGCTTCGGAAACCGCCGAGCTATTCAGACGACAAGTTTGGAAACGCTTCGGGCTACCCGATAAGATCATCTCTGACCGTGGAACGCAATTCGCATCCAAAGTATTCCAAGCACTGTGTACTGCTCTCAAGATCAAGTCGGCTATGAGTACAGCCTATCATCCACAGACGGATGGTGAAACGGAGCAAATGAATCAAGAATTGGAAACATATCTTCGAATGTACTGTGCGGAGCAACCGCATCAATGAAATCAATTCCTATCCGAAGCAGAGTTCGCGCACAATCTTCACGCTCATTCAGTGACAAAGAAGTCACCATTCGAAATATGGTATGGCTACGAGCCTCGAGGAATGCCAGAACTGTTTCCTCAGGACGAGATCCCCGACGTGGATACAAGACTCAAGCTTCTCAGCATGGTCCGCAAGGAGGCCACAGAAGGAATTGTCAAGGCAAAAGCCCGTGTATCCACCAGAATCAAAGGAGGATCTCCGACGTTCAAGAAAGGAGATGTTATGAAGCGTTCCCTGCTAGAACGTTCAGAACCACGTGTGCTTTCTCACACGTACTAGTCCACAACGTGGACAGAGACTCAGATACCAAATATACCTGATGTCTCCAATAGTCACACAGACTATTAGCAGGGTTTATAGTGTGGTCAAGCCTAGTAGACGATGTAGCAGTGAGGTCCTCACTCTACCCTTGCTAGGCCTTGGCCGCTACAGCTACTGCACGTTCACCCGCAGGCTACTAGGTTCGCTGTTCTGACTCTAGCAAGCGTACGAGCTTACTA